TATAATCATACGGCAAAAAAGTCTATAAACCGGTAGTTGACTTCTGACCCCACTGTATGTCATATTCGACTACTTCTACAGAACTCACATCATATTTTTTTTTCTAAATTTTCTACCTTCGAAAAACACTTCTGTCCCCCCACCACACTCGACTTTTTTTCACTCTGATGTTCCTTCTACCCTGTGAAGCCTGAAGTCAACTAAAGGGCTAATGATAACCATCAAAACGCCTGCCATTTGATATAAATAAATCATACTAATCCTACTTTTGGCATAGAAATCAATCCCAACTTAAGAAAAATGATTACGGAGAACCGGTAATAAAAAATTACTTATCCGTTTCCGCATTGTTAAATCTGAAAGCGGTTAAATATTATTTACGATATCTTGTCTTCTCTTCCATGGGAAGTGGTATGACCGCCATAGTTTGATTAAAAAACGGTCGAAACGAACGAAACATTGTGGACAAAATTGTGCTGCAATGCAGGAATGATTCCTGAAAATTGGGATGTGAGCTATCCAGTTAGTAAATGCTGCATAACACGAATTCGAAATTTAAGTGAATTAGGACTCTTTGGTACTTTGAGTTTACTCTCAGTGTCTTGTTGGACTCCTTACCGTTTATCATTTGTAGGACCTCCGCAATTTCCTTCAAAGTTAAAAAATGAGAAAATGTGGAGTGTTACTGGGGGGGGGGAGGGTGGGAGGGTGGGAGGACATTAATCATAGAAATGGACAAGTAGCGTTAGTTGGTTGATAGACAAAATCAAGGTATCTAGTAAAAGCCATCTTACAATACAATGCGAGTGTTTTCCAACGTTTGGCTTGGGTAGAGGGTGATGTTATTGACATTGCCTGGTGAGTGACTTGAATTCTGCCATTCTTAACTTTAGCAGAGCCTTAACAGACCCTAAATGCTATTGGATGTTCCCGCTATTGGGAGGAAGAGGAGGGGGGGGGGGGGGGGGGNGGGGGGGGGGGGGGGGGAGGGGCTGTATCGATAGGAGTTAAGCTCGTAACCACTGTCTCAGCTAATTTTCTTCATGCGGAGTAAATGAACAATCGTTGCCGGGATGTCTATTTTTCTTGGCTTAGACGGTTTTCACATAGTCGGAACCGCAAACAATCAGCCCACATTGAACTCGATCATCAAAGACTAAAGTGATCGCTAAACACAATACAGCATACGCAAGGGGGCACGGAAGCCTATGCCACGTTTTTTATTCCTACCAGTAATCTTACTCCCAAGCCACAGCAACAAATGTGAAATGAAAAGGAATCACAGCAAATTTACAGGCGAACAACCAACATGCAGGATTACCATTTTCGTGAACGACGCCTACAAAATAGAGGCAAAGTTGAATAAGACATGATTCAATTTAAAATTTTCAGTACATTCCAATAGTTAAAATATAGGCTCCAATAAATTTCATAACCAAACTTTCTCGCTATTTTTCAATAAAGCTCTTTACAACCGGTGAACGCCCATATCTCTCCACTTTGTTGCATGAAGTTACAAGTATAAGTGTTCGACAAGACCTATACAAGTAGCGCGCACACACACACACACACACCAACACTTACATTTGCCCTCGCATTTGAGTGGATTGTTTGGTGGAGGGTAGGTAGGTATAGATGCTTTGAGCCGTGTAAACATCCTCATTTTGCGTCATGCCCCTTCTTCCAGGTTGCTTCTTGGTTTTCTGCATGAATTCGTGTATTTCATTTACCCTTCGTGACGTTCGCGACTCCATGCTATCCCGAATCAGCCTGTCAACAGGAGGAAAAAGGAAAAGTGCAAATTAATTAGGCTTTTTTTAATATTTATTACAAAATCGTTTACATTTAAAGTGTTTTATTTCACGCTTTCTTATGCCAGCTTAAGCCGAGTGCAATCGCTGCATAACACACGCCTCAAAGGACGAAATCTCAGTAGCAGACCATCAGATTTTCTTGTCTGTCTCGGGGTACCTCCTTGAGTTTGCTCAAATAGTTTCAGGCGCATGGACTTTAAAACTGGGCCTTAACCTAAGAATAGCTCCTACTATTCATGATATGTCACTAATCCATTAATATCCTGTATGTTCCAAGTAGTTTCGACAACTAGCAATGTCCTTCATGTTAAATATTGGATAACTAATCTATTACTGTGGTCCCCATAGTAAAGCATTCAGTTAATTCAATTGGCTGATAAGCTTTGAGTATATCATAGGCTCTAAATGAGCATAGAAGGTACCAAGCCAAGAAATTTGATTTTGAGAAGAATATAATAAGAAAAATGTTTGGTTATAAGGGCGTAAAAGCTGAATCCAAAAATCTAATTACGAGGGGTTTCTCTCAATACCTTTATGTCAACCCTACGTTCTGAACTCATATCCATCTTTAATACTAATATCGAACTATTTACCATTGTGAATACCATTATTAATCTCCATGACGTATGATAATCCCTCCGTAAGGTGAAATCGCAAAACTGTGACACATTAAAACTTACTCCTTGAAATACGTCCCAGCTTCTTCTTCTGAGATATTCTGCCTCAGCATTCCGTAGACGTGGTGTATCTGACGCCTCTCCAATCCTGGAAGTTGCATTTGCCAGGCCTAAGAGAAAAGTTATCACATGAGGAAACACATTATTTATTTATATCAAATGGCAGACGTTTTGATGGTCATCATTAGCCCTTTAGTTGACTTCAGGCTTCACAGAGGGGAGGAGGAACATCAAAGTGGAGGAAAGTCGAGAGGGGGGGGGACAGAAGAGTGTTTCAAAGACGAAGGTATAAAAAGGTGAGGTGAGTACTGTGGATTGGTGGAATATGACATAAAATGGCGTCATGGTAGTTTGAAGTGAGAAGTCAACTGCCGGTTAATAGACTTTTTGCCGTATGAGTATACGTTGCCCAGGGTGACGTGACGTCATCTTTCAAACTGTGATGTCTAAGGCATAGGCATTTGGCCATATGACAAACTCCCTCTGAGATGGGATAGTTGATTCCCAAAAATCAGTGTGAGAAACTCAACTGCGTGAAACAGACCTTAGAACAACAAAATAATTGTACTTAAGGAATTGAAGACACTTAATTGGCAGGACACAAAAGAAGTCAGACTTGGCAAGTGAGAGCATGCTGCAGCCAATTCAAGAGGAGCAGATTTCATTAAATTTGAAAAAATTTGGGTGAAAATTAAATTCAAAGTGCTCGATAAAGAGTAATGCAATTAAGAAGAAACAAAATGATGAAAGAAACGAGAGTGGATAGATCAGCCAATTAATTAGCAGCTTTTTCTTTGAATACGTGATGGAAAACTTAATTTGTGTACTGTTTGAAAACGTTGGCCATGACAGTTCACAAACCGTGGAGAGATGATGGGTTATTAGCGTCAGACCTCACGATAAACGCCCATTGAGACATGAGATTGACCACCTCTATTCTCAAAGGCGCCTCTATTCAGTGCATCTAAAGATGGGGACAATTGATGCAATATGGCAAATATCTGAATTATACCAAACATGATCTCTATGGGAGTTTGTATACAAATCCAAAGGATAATACTCGTCAATTAAGCAGCCTCAATTCCTACAGAAAAGCTGGCTCTAGAGTCCTTTCACTACAAAAGCTAGAAATGCTCTATACGACTCACAAGATATAACACAACTCAATGGGTAAGAGTAGCAGTGGACAATCCCCTGCGAATAAAAACGGAGGGTGGGGGGGGGGGGGGGGGGGGGGGCGGTACAAAATGGGAGGGATGGATAGAAAAGACCAAAAAGTAGGCTGGGACCACAAAGTTATGAGCATGATGCAAAATAAGGTAAAGTGAGATGTGCTGGCTGGCTTTAAGCGTCCCCGTGAGACAATCGGGATAAATGAGTGATTGTGTGTGTGTGTGTGTGTGTGTGTGTGTGTATAGAGGACAGAAACAAATTCGCACATTTCACACCTGTCCCGAGATGAATAAATCACATCTCGTGGGTAGTCCCTAAGAGTCAACTAATGGAGCAACAAAAATAGCCCCTAGCCACCCACTCGTTGGGTCTGACTAGCACCGTAGCGGAGGAAACTACATTTTCGACACTGATGAGGTTATAAACGATTGATTCCTTTTAAATTCTAAAAGCCAACCCCAGCAACAATGAAAAATAGGGAGGAGGGGGGGGAGGTCAAGCAGTACCAACGTACCATCTCCAGAAGACCGATGATTAAGAGGGAGTGTTTGCGAAGACAGTTGTAAGCTTCACAGCAATGATACACGAAAGAGGGGATTTCCGCTAACTTGTCCTTGCCAGATGATTTGCCAGCCCGTGTCGATTCGCCAGCTTTAATAACTTCCACCATATCAGGTGTTAGTATGAAGGGCGATCGATCCCTGCGGAAAAAAAGCCAATGGATTATATAAGTGAATATACATTAATTCTACGCATATATATTGGATAGAAAAGATAATGCTGATGATTTGTGTTGTCCACAACATCTGTTAAGCCAATCAGAAACACATAAGGCTCTCTCCAAAGTCGCTTAAATCAAAGCCAAAGCGTATTTCCATCCTAACAAGATTATGTCATTAAGAAAAAAATTGAAAACTGAGTCTTTTATTCATAGAATGGTATTCCATTCATGGCGTATTGAGATCAAACTCGGTGAGTTCCTCTTGGAAGTCCCGAGAATGAGCTTGACAAGAGAAAAAATTCTTCTTTGAGCTGGTGCAGAATTTTGCACCATACGTTAAAAAATTATCAGGGTCAACAAGGAAAAAAAACGTCCATAGAGAGGAAGACGAACAAGTAAGTCATAAAAAGCAGGTCATCGGATTGATCGGACGGTCAGACCAGCAACGATAACGAATTCTATTATTGGTAAATGGGAAGGGGTGTGCGATAGACTTACCTCCACGTGGTGCACCCTGGGCAACGTATACTCATACGGCAAAAAAAGTCCATTAACCGGAAGTTGACTTCTGACTTCAAAATACCATGGCCCAACTGCTTATCATATTCCACCACTTTCACAGTACTCATCTTACCTTTTTCCCCACCTTTATGTCTGTCTGCCTCTTTTACATCTGTGAATCGCTCTTCTGTTCCCCACCCCTCGAATTTCTGCTACTTTGATGAATCTTCCCTCTGTGAAGCCCGAAGTCAGCTAAATGGCTAATGATAGTTATTAAAACGCCTGCCATTTGAAAAAAAATTATCGGTAAATGGGGTTCCAATCCACACCACTGAATGCACATCACTGAGTGTTATTCCACTAACTTCTAAATCAGAAGGTGTGCAATTTGAGTAACTTGTAAGTTCATTTAGAAAAGGTGCTTTAGCCACACATTACATCCCCTCTCGTCGCATAATTTACCACCTACGAAGTTACTTCTAATAAAAATGACGGTAGTAACTAAAGCAATTCATTTGGAATGCAAAAAACAACTTTAAGGGAAGAGGATGAACAACCCAGAGAAAAAACGCTAAAAAACCAACCTATTAATACCGAGAAACTTTTGGAAGTTTCCAAAAACCTTGGAGAAATCAATATGAAAGCTTTGACCATTCGTCCGCAACATTATGTTATCGTTGTGCCGATCCCCAATCCCAAGAACATACGTCAGTACGGAGCCAGCAACGGTTGAGAGGAGGAAATTTTGAATAGCCTAAAAGTAAATAAACAAAATAAGTGAATTCTACTTAACTTGTCCAAATACTAGTAATGCTGATTAAATAAACCTACTCTTTTAAAATTAGTAGCATCGTTTAATTTTTCCAACCACGCAAGAAGACCATGAGTTTTGCCAACGTCTAGATTGACCTCCCGCAGAGTTAGAGCTTTAGTGACTGGTTCTATTAAACCGCATTTTGGATCATACGGCATAACGCAGAAGTGAGGAATACAGAGATCAATAGCATTGTTTAGCCAAATACGATCGCAAATCTTGATTAGTTGACACATAAGTAGGTCCAATTGAAGATCATCTCCGACCTAAAAGTGGGAGCAGACCAGTGAAGAATTTGCTCAAAACCCTTTCGAACACGAACAAGTGGGTCAATTAGAACGCAAACTATGAATATGAGCCACTAAATGCGATTATAATGCATTCATTGGGTTAAATTCTGCTTTCCGGTTGAGAGTGCGTTCAGAGATATCACATTCATTCAGATTCTACTCTACATGCAAATTCACTCAGAAATTTGTTTGCAGCGATTAGCGCCATTTCTAGAGAAAGTACGTCTGCAGTATCATTCATTGCGTACTCTCACTACTATGCATGCACGCTCCGAGGTAGTCGCATTTTGTTGCCTCTAGATCGTCCAAAAGCCTGAACAATTCGCGGACATATACTAGAGTCTGACAACCGGGGAGACACTTAGGCATAAACCGCTATTGTTCCACCAGCGGTTCTGATCTCCGGGGCTCAACTTTCTCCTGACCGAAACTAGACCTGTTAGGATGAGCTCAGCGGGAACAAGCCTAATTCGCGAAAACCACTTCGATTCAATTTATATTCTTACAGTCCCTGACTTCAAACTGCCATGACCTAACTGTATGTAATATTCGACCAATTCCATAGTACTCGTCCTACCTTCTCTCTTCCTTTATGTCTGTCCGTCTCTTTTACATCTGTGAATCACTCTTCTGTTCCCCCACCCCTCAACTTTCTGTTGCTTCGATGTTCCTTCCCTTTATGAAGCCCGAAGTCAGCTAAATGGTTAATGATAACCATCAAACCGCCTGCCATTTTAGTGGATATACACAAGAGTTCTAGTGGAAAACGCATCAAACATTTAAAATAGCCTGTATCACAAGCAAAACATAACTGGCAAGTCTTTGAACACACCTTTGTGATCTAAGATGTGTAAAATTATCCAGGCAAACACACAATTGCACGATTGTCATTTTTAGTACTTTATACACACACAATCACAAACACAAACTCACACACACACACACGCACAAGATCAAACAGGCCCTAAAATTTGATAATAAAAAAATTACCATAGTGAGTGGAAAAAGTACACAGGTGCATTAAATGTGGGTCAAAACTGTCAACATTTAACAGAAAATGGAAATTTAAATAAGAAAACACGTCTGCAATGAAGCGAGAAAGGCAAGTAAGGGCGGCGGATTGATGTCATGAGATGAAACAAAGATGATTTCCTATTTCGTCATTTAATTTTAGGTCTACGAGTTTGCAGAAAATTAGGTGCGAAGGGCAATGAAGCGAGAAAGGCAAGTAAGGGCGGCGGATTGATGTCATGAGATGAAACAAAGATGATTTCCTATTTCGTCATTTAATTTTAGGTCTATGAGTTTGCAGAGAAATGAGGTGCGAAGGGCAAGTTCATCGCATTCATAAAGAAAATTCCGCAATCACACTCAAACAGAACGGGTTTCAACTCTGGGATGCTATCCAATAATCGAACTGAGACATCTTTTGACCCTCCCCCCAAAGTACTAATAGGAACTAAAAGAAAAGCCGACTCAAATCAAAGAACTCCAAACCTATTGACTCCAACCTCCATTCTAATTGGGGGAAAAGTCGGCTTATTGCCACATCGTACCCCAATTCGTCAGGTAATCACCCCAAAAGCTCTGGTGTCACCATATTCTCTCCGATTCCCAATCCTACACTTTTCCCTCTCATACACTTCAAATTGTAAAACCCAACTCTTCACTGTCACACTCGGGAAAGGCTTTTACATCTACGTCTTCGTTTTGGGAAGATTATCATTAATGAAAGAGGATTCTTAAGTCTAATTTGACGGGGTTCCTGAAGTCAAAACACCGAGAAGATTATAGCTACTTCAAAGACTATGAAAAGTCAAACACGAAACCACGGAATTCTTGGTTTCAGTAGGTTGATATGAGCGAAATACCCAAACTCAAGTGAAATTTGATTCAAATCCAATGAGAAGCAGCGTAGCCAATTGCATGTGATGATTTGCAGTCAATGCATTGACGTAATTAAAGGGACCTTCTGTTCACACAGGTAATCGCATTCATGTTGAAAGAAAAGGATTTTTAAACTGTTTTACACCTGAAATTCAACCCAAATCAGGGTAATAAATGTAGTCCTATTCTATATCCGAGGAAATTTTGAGAAGTTTTACAATGTTTAATAAAAAATGCGCGAAAACACCCAACACATTTTCCGAGGAACTAGAAGTAAATCAATTATTACGAGTACTCCAAAAACAGATCAATTATTATTAATGGCAACATGATGCACACATCACTTTGGCAACAAGATAAAACTATTTATTATTAATATTTATAAAAATTCCAATCACTACCAACATGGGAAGCCATTGTTAAGGAACATCTTACAGATAAAGTAGCGCGAATATTTGCGGAACACTCGAGAGAAGCTCACAGTTTATAGGATTTCTACGCTCACACACCTTCCTACGTAAGGCTACCTACGAAGAAGCCGTCTCTCTTCAATTATTGGCTAATCAGCCAGCCAATCATTTATCACATATTCGAGCCAATAAAAGTCGATTAACTTTGATTACTGAAGGATGGTCGTTTGAGCTATAATTATTCTCTTTTCCTTTTCTTAGAATCTACCACTTCAATAAGGGACAACCGGGAGGTGATGAATGATGGAAAGATGGACTAGTAAGAACTAAAATTAACAAAAGGTCAGAGGGAATACAACCAGTTCGTCGCAGTGCTGACTATTCTATGACTATCTTCAGACTGTGTGATTGATTTTATCTGGAGTTTAAGCCTACCATTGGTCAATTCTACATGCCGGTAAGAGAATCATTATTAGCTTACTAGGCAGCTAGATTAGTCTAATACACGGCCCCCCATGGATTAGACTAATACTAACTCAATGTATAGGCAATTTCGAGTCTTCTGTAAATATACAACAACCTTAATGTTTCATTAATTATTTAACAACATTCTTATACTAATACATTGCTCGATATTACTTTTAGAAATAAAAATTTAGATCATAAAGTATTCACCGAATCCAGTCATATCCCTGTTAGTCAGGCCTAGCTAATACTATTAACTACTCCCTTTACCAACGACCATCTAATACTTGACCTATGACCTCGTAGATGAACAAGATAATCGTTACGCCACAAACAAATAATAAAGTCACGAAGGAAGAGAAAGTCTATTAATAATCAAATTCCTAATTATCAGGAAAAAAGTTAGATTGAATGAAAGCTTACTTTATATATACAATTTCGACGTTCACCATCAAGTCCTCGGAAGATAATCTCAATGGGTCGATTGAAGGAGGGAATATAATTACAAGACTCAATCTATATTGAACACAAACAAAAAACACGGTAGGAAGTAGCATTATTGTATTGAATGACCAAAACAGGACAAAATTCAATTACGTACTTCGATTTTTCTAGAACAGAAGCCAAAATCCAGGGGCAGACGAAAACCATCAGGACATTGTGTTGTGCTAAAAGGCGACTTGAATCGATAGTCGAGGGACTCTTGAATCGAATTTAGACCATCCTTGAGAACCACTTTTTCGTTGTCATCTTTTGCAGCCTTTACAGCCATTGCTATTAAATTAGTAAAAGTGAGAAGATCAAACTACTCTACTCCCCAGGATCGAAGTCTTAGAAGCATTACTCAGTGATATCAGTTATGAAAATCGGGGCCTATCAATGATTGTTTCAATCTTCTTCAACAGAGATCAATAAGCAGTATACATCCAAGCTAGACTAAATGAATGGACCGATTGATTAAAACAAATTTTGCTGAAGCAAAAATTCATCTAAGGCACAAAATGGGCTCTGGACTCCTATTAATAGTTTGCCTTATTACACTGAGATGGATTTGGAAACAACACGTGGAAATTCTTAGCCTGCATGCAAGCAAATGTTAATGAAAAATCAAAATTTTAGTTGAAATTAGCTATTTTCATCTAAAATAACAAAATACGCATTAAAAGAACCTGTTTTTTGAATTGCCTTCAGCACATCCGATTGGAGTTTCCAGGTGGCATTCAGCCGACTACCACGGAGCCAAATGAGAGCACTTTTGATGAGCAGTAGGCGTTGTTGTGAATACCACTTGGGATTCACTAATACACTCTCAATATTCCAGTAGAGGGCATTGCAAAATCGCAGAGAGACAGTGGCCCGATGAAGAAGTAGGCTCACAAGTCCAGACCAATCCATATGGATATCATAGTTAATAGCCTAGTGACAAGAGGGAGAGAGAGGGAGAGAGGTAGAGAAAGACTGAGGATAACGCCCTGAGATATGCTACAACCAATGCACGTATTTCAATCATTTTCTCTTATTTTATACCCATTTAAAGGGATGCGCGATAGACTCACCTCCACGTGGCGCACACTGGGCAATTACCATGACCCGGCTGTATGTCATATTCGACAACTTCCACCTCCACAGTACTCACATTATATCTTCTCTACATTGTGTCTTTCTCCTTTACAACCGTGAATTACTCTTCGCTTCCCCTTCTCAAACTTTTTGTGACTTTGTCTGTTCCTCCCCTCTGCGAAGCTTGAAGTCAACTAAATGGCTAATGATAAGTATCATAAAGCCTACCATTTGATATAAATATTCATACAAAAGACCTATGAATTTATTCGATTGAATTGAATTACAGTGACCGATTTATAGATTCCAGTTACCATAAATTAGAAACCATCTTCCCACTACATTTTCGAGATGACCGCTCGAGCCTAGCGAAGAGGTCTGATACCACGGCAACAGTTATCTTCGTCATGGAGCAATAATCACAGCCATACCTTCTACGACTTCAAATCTGGGGGGGGGTATTAGAAAAACCCAGTGACCAAAAGTGCCAAGATTTGGCAACAACAATGTTCTTGCTGTAGACGATGTAGTTTAAGAGTAGGAGAAATGAGAAGGCCAGAAGATTATTCACGCTGCACAATTTCTCTGTGGTACTCTCTTCACCATAGTAATAAATATTTCCAACTTGGTTGATTTGGAAATTTTATTCAACCTTGTGCTCTGCAATGATCTGATAGAAGGAGAATGATTCATCCTGGCACTCAACGGGGTCGCTTAAAACTTTGCAGTCCGATATGATCCATAGGCGACTGTCGAAAATAAACTTAGATGCAGAAGACTGCCGGTTACTCTAAAAGTTGTCTAGTATTTTTTGTTTAAACGAATGAATAAACAGGGCGCAAACACTTCACTCAACCCTATCCCCGTGACAGGAGTGCAGATGCATGAAATCGACTAAGTAAATTCAATAATGGTACCCCCTCCATCCCCCCTTCCCAACAACGCCCGTTGGTTTAAAGACATTCGGTGCAAACAAACTAATCAAACGTTTTCTCCTATTCGTTGCCCTGATTGTTTTCTTCTGACCTTCATTTCATGCCTCCCCCCTCATCTCCAACTATTCATTCTTTAAAATTCAATTGAGCCGTGTTTGCTCTTGGACAATATACCTTAGTATATTTGCAAGTCTTTGCATTCTAATAGGGCAATTTCGAAAGTCTGTTTGACCCAGAAGTAACTTGCTGATTTGTATTTGTATAGATTTGAACCCTCAATATCCTCACTCATCTAATTACAACGCCGCTTTTAATTTCTTTTCAATACACCTTTTCTTCTATTCATCTTGTTGCGTGATGAGAACCATGGTTGAAAAACTAGGCAGACCCAATTTATTGCAGTGCTTACCTCTATTAAAGACGGTAGATAAGATATCATGGCATCAGCGGACATTTGAGCAATGCAAGTAACAGCCCAATGTCGAAGAACTTGATCAGGGACATCAGGAAGAAGCAATCTAAGCGCGGAAGCTGGAGCCAGAGGCGGGGATCGTGGAATGAGGCTGGAGGATAAAATGGAATAGTAAATAGTCGGAAGCGTTTGCGGATCGCAGAGCGTTAATAACACACCTTAGACGTGCTCACATAAGCGTCACAGCATTTTTCAGAAAAAAATTACAACAGACTAGCTAACTTTAACTATGCCCTCGGACTAAATCAAAGATTAGTTAAATTTGTTTATCAACAAAATCCAATAAGTTCGAAGATTATAATTTGTATATTGAATAAAAAATTATAAGTAAACAATAAACGTTTAGGTCAATTTATTTATTTATTTCAAATGACAGGCATTTTGATAGTTATCATTAGCCATTTAACTGACTTCGGGCTTCACAGAGGAAAGGAACGCCAAAGTAACAGAAAGTCGATGGGTGGGGAATGGGAGAGTGGTTTACAGTTGTAAAAGAGACAGGCACAGAGGCAGAGAAAAGGTAAAATGATTACTGTGAAAGTGGTAGAATATGGCATACAGTGTGGTGATGGTAGTTTGAAGTGAGAAATCAACTGCCGAATAATTGACTTTTTGCCTTATGAGTATACATTGTCCAGGGTGCGCCACGTGGAGGTAAGTCTATCGCACACCCCCGTTAAGGTAAATTAAAGTTTGTTTAAACTTATCCTAAGAGCAAGGAAATTAACTTTCACTGAGCTTAAATGGACCTTTAATAAAAGTGAATGTTATCTGACTTGTAAAAGCCAATTATAACAGGACTCTAAAATTGAAGGAGTTAATGAGTTGGAAGATTGCAAGTACCAACCGATCACAGAAAATATTGCAATCAATTTCGATCTGCAGTAAAAATTAAAAAAAAACCGATACAATAGGATGCTGAAAAATGCAAAAAAGTCTATCGGTTGGCATTCGAGATTCAACTTTGAATCTAGTGCTTGTTCCTTGGGGAAAAAATGCCTCTTATTGCTAAGATATGCTCTTGTCAGACACTGAGGTCTGTCTTCACCATCTTGCACGCTCAGATAATAGCAACTATTTTCTTCATAGCGGTAGTTAGATAGGCAGAGAATTCATAAATGCGTAGATTAATTTGAAAGGCACATATATATATATATATTAGAAACTAATTTGAAGTAATATAGGCAGTTGCAGAAAAGTCACTTAGTAGAGCAAACCATGAAGTTTGAAGAAAGAATTATGGGGCTAAATAATTGGTGCTAGTGTTTGCTCAATGGCTAGATGAGTGACACCGCCTACACCCCATCATTCATTTGAGATGAAAGGATTGAGCACGGATGTCTCTAAAACTGAAGAACTGCAAAAGAAATACACATTTTTGCAAATGCTGAAGAAAACGATTTAGGTCAATTGCTAGCAAGGAGCAGAGATCCCCTGAAAGAACGTCCAATTTTACGTATGGCATGTTTATCACACAACTTATATCTATTTTGGATGACTAAAGAGAGTTAGTTGCAAGGTCATATCTGGGTACATCATATAGGCCTAGCTAGACAACCATGCTGTTTGGGAGTATTGGGCTGTCAAGGTTACATTATAGATTATTTCAAAAATAAAGAGTTATGTGAAAGAGATGAGAGAAGAGATTACAGAAATATTAAATGACACAATGTGTGCGTGGGTGTGTGTGTCTGTGTGCGACCTTCAAACAAATGAAGGTCACTTAAAAGCTTTCGCATGGGAAATTGAATAATAAAACATTAAGATACCTGTGGCGTCAGCCTGTACTTAAACGATAATATCGATTGCCTGTCATATCTCAAAAATCAATATGTCGACTACTTCATCTCATTATTGATTCATTTCATACTGTATGCAAAGAGCTGTGTATAGTGTAAAAAGGCCTACTTACCTGGCCGTATGAAACTGGGTGCAAACCCCACTTTATGCGTACAATACCATTACTTTATTCGTTGCAATGTCTTATTCAGCACTTTCCACATATTAATCACTTCACCAGGATAAAATTTCACTATTTGCCCACTAAACTAACCTCCCTATTACCATGAGCGAAACTTAAGCAAAATAATTCTGCGTACCACATTCAGCGTCATAATTTAACAGTAGTAAGGGACTTGACCAAGGATTCAAGTAACGAACACGTGTTCCCTTCCCATTCAATTTATGATCAATTTACAAAGTGAACCCGAAACCAGAAAGCAATATGTCTTCTGAGTAGGTGATGTAATCACAAAACTGAGTTTATAAAATATGGAGAAAGTTTCTAGATTATATTACTCACTCAAAATTAAGCACTAAATTTATAAACCTGAAATCAGTGGACTACCTATAGAGATGTGATAGAAGATTCATCCACATAATCTTGTCATGAACCCCCTCAGCGAATTCCATAGACTCCGGTCGACACTTTCTTGGCCAACAGACCGGTGCCGCAATGAGGAGGGCCATCAGGAGTTCCGGTTCCCCTGTCAGTCGTCCGCGAATACTCCAAAGTTGATCGATGAGGGATTGATAAGATCTTCGGTCAGGAATAAAGGCTGTAAATTTGAGATCTTGAGCAGTGTCTGATGGTCTACGGGTTTGATGTTGTTCAGAAGGAAGTGGAGAATAAAGGAGCTCAGAGGCTTCTTCTAGTAACCGCCTGCGATCTTCACTAGAGAGCATCTCACAGTATCTGAATAAGAAAGAAAGCGAGGACTAAATCACACCATTTGCCTTGCTACAGAGGAGAGAGAGAGAGAGTGAGACATGTAAAGAGAAAGCTTACATCTCTACCGGTGGTGGGGTGGTGAAGTAAAAATTGTACTCAAACACGAGGAATCTTAACTAAAATGATGAGTAAAGGGGCATTAGGTCAGCACATAAACATATATACTACCTATGAAAATGTGCAAGTAGAAGCTCACACCTCTACAACAATGGCGTCCGATCGGCGGTTGGGTTCAGCGAAGGTGGATCGCATTGCATCTGTGGGTCGCTCAGTGCCTCCCGAGGGCCAGAGGCCGGCTAGAACGACACCCTGCTGAAGTTGCCCGTTTGGATCGAATAGAGGTACGTTAACCCAGCCCACGAGAGTTCCATCACTCACTGCGACAGAATAAAATGGGTACACATGTATAAAAAGCTCATCTATTTCAGCACTGTATTTCAATTTCAATTTCTAATCAATGCTCCATTAATCTTTTTTTCACCATCCAGTTAATTAACCATTTATTTCAACTCTAGTTGGTTTCTAAATTTACACATTTGATATTCGCTTTCAATATCAAAAACTCCACCGTGGAACTAGTCAGCGTTGGACAACACAGTGACAACTGATTTGGCTTACAGAATATCTTTAAACCACATTGCCTCAAAGAATTTTTCAGCTGATTCTAATTGACCTGTTCTCTTGATTGCAAGGTGCTACTATTGCAGCAAATCTGTGATTGGTTAGGTTGCGCAATGAAGTTATGTTATTCCTCAGGCATGGTCCATCCAAATTCGATTGGTTATTGCAATCAGCTGGTACTCTGAACATCTTCTTCGGTCAACAAAAAATAAAAGCATTTGCAACGCAGCACACACTTCATCTCTGCTTAACTTCCCCACACCGAGGCCTACTGTTTCATAACTCGTCGGCTCAGAACTCTGGTTACTTTACCACCTATCTATACCTTGTCACACTTGTCACATCTTTACACTTTCTGCATTAGTCTACTGCCGAGTCCGCCACCATTTCTTCTGCTTTCATGCTCTAGATGATCAGTCGATAATACTGACACCAGTGAGTGTAGTCTAGGGGAGAAAAGGTAATAGGGTTGGCACTCGAAGATAATTAGATTGACGAAGACGATTCATATAATTGATGTTTGAAGGCTTGGAGGTGAATATTGAACGTGGAGAAGACTTCGCCTTTGAGTTTCAATGAGAGTCTCCTAGCCCACAAAGCATAGACAAGTTTTCGTTGATAGGGTGTGCGATAGACTTACCTCCACGTGGTGCAACCTGGGCAACGTATACTCATACGGCAAAAAAGTCTTTTAACCGGCAGTTGACTCCTCACTTCAAACTACCATCACCCTACTGTATGTCATATTCGACCCCTTCCACAGTACTCACCTCAACTTTGTTCTACCTTTGGGTCTGCCTCTTTTAAATCCTTGAAACACTATTCTGTTCCC